AGTGGGCTAGCACTATAAATCGGCATCAGTCCGGACTAGTACAAGCAGCCCCCCCCCCCCCCCCCCCCCACACACACACACACACACACGTGCATGCACGTCGCTATATAAGTGCAGTAATCTTGGACGCGACGTTAAACCCAATTTCACATCACCTCACCTCACCTCACCTCAGAACACTCCTTCCTGACTGGAATTTTAAAAACTTAACTATCGATATGAGAAGTGTATTTAAAAGCAGGGAGATTATGTTTAGAAAATACAATTAAAAACACTTTCATAATTGGTTGTTTTCTTTGTTAGGCTCAGACTCTTTTGACGTGCCCTAGTAGTCCAAGCCTTGGACAGAACGAGTGACCTAAAGTGGTCAAATGAAAAATACTATTAAACCAATCCTAGAAAGACTAGATAAACGTAAATGTGTTACGTACTTGACATACACGTGTTGTTGACAATGTTGGTGATAACGTGGTCATAAAGTGGCACACGTTGTGTAACTAGTGACCTGTTTCTCAATGTGACCTATACATGTATTTATGTTACATAATCGTAAACCTTTTACAAGAAAAATTGAAACAGAGTAATTAGACCGCCTTAAAACGACCGATGCATATTTTGTCATTGGTTTTGTCAGGCCCATCTTTGATAACTTTCTGGCAACCGTGATCTAACAATGTGGCGGAAAACAACATTATAAAAAGTTGTTTCCTAGGTTTAATTCTGACATTTGTTCTCCTCGTGGTTATGAAGGTCAAGGCCGTCTGTTGTCTACGTTCATAGCGAAAAACATACTGATATTGAGCTTCAGTCTTACGTTTTCTAATGAGCACGGCATACCGGCAGGTTATACACAGACACGTTTAATCACATGGACCTATTATCTGTTGTATACAACTTCGAAAACATTTGTGCAAACAATATCCCTGTAATCTAAGTCATATAATTGGTCACATTATATTCTGTAACCGAACTGCATGTTATATCAATAACGATAAGTAACATATAAACGGACTCTAATATTCTTTCATGTTTGAAGAACCAATCAGGTCATTGTGGAAACCTTTTTAATTACTTACAGCAGTTTACTTTGATCTTCGTAAGATCAAAACATATCAAATATAAAATGAGGAGATTAAATTAAGGACTCTAAATCATTTCAGTCAATCTGTCTAAAATCCAGTTTCATTTTTCAGCCAGTATACATAGTGACTGAACGTTTCAGTCAATATACATATTGCCTGATTATTGACTTTGACTGTAACATATATAGCTTCCTTATATTTTCATACAATGGCCATTTTAAAATAACGTGAAACTCATCTTCAACGATATTCAAATTACAAATCTGACGGATTTGGTTTTCTTTTGGGATATTTTGTCTGCGTCCAAAATCTATCTGTAGCCCGGTCTCATCTGTTCTTAATAGTGCTAGATGCTGTCTTATAATTTATACATTGTTATTTGTAACACAAGCTGCAGGATATAATGATGTTTATAATTGGAATAATTATCATATCTGGAGCTTTTATGCGGGTATCAGTCACCTCCGTCCTTGTCGGATTCTCTGAGTTGAGTACCAATCCACATACTAGGTATTTCTGACGCATCTTTTACCACCGAATGGAGGTCGAGTTGTATGCAGGTGTGCTCGGCATCCGGAAGGTCCGGGTCGATCCTTAACAATATGTGAAGCTATTATTGATGTCCCCTGCCGTGATATGACTAGATAATGCTGATACCTAAGTCCCTCACTCACTTTTGTAAACTCTTAATCAGTTTGATTTACTTCCCTGGAGTTATTAAAGAGACAAACGCATTTCCATCATCATTAGAAATCTAAAAAAGCAGAGTCATTGTACGATTCCAACTTTATTTTAAACATATGTTTATGAATTTCTATCAAATTGTTAGATAATACCATGTATTCACTCGCGAAAAGGTGGGCGTAGCAAGGGTCGTATGGCGTTCTTTGTTTTAAATATTTTTGTTAATAACATGTTCTGTTCCGTTTCAAATGTAATCAGTGGTACAGCCTCTAACAGTCGTTCGGAATGCCTCGTGTTACACTTTTTGAGGCTGCATGATAAAGAAAACACATTCGGATTTTCATTTTCCCGATCTCGTAAACGACACAGATTCTTAGGGTGATATGGAATGGGTTATCTTTGCGTAGCGAGTCCAAAGTTCTGATTTTGATGAGTAAGGGTTCTGTGACTTGGCAAGCGTGCCCTGGCGGTGCGCGTCTTTGATCGTTCTTTCAGGCACTGGTTTGTCTAGTCCAGACGCCATCACTGAGCTGAAACATTGCTGGCTACGGCTTAGAATATATTAGGTTGAGAGATTATAAGACAATAAAAGATTTATGTATGTACACTTCCCCTTTTACAACATATCTTTATTACGTCAAGTTATATCATCAAATATAAGTAACGAAACCCTTCACATATTCAAATGAAATCTATGCCAAAAGCAGAATCGAGTGTACGATTCCGACTATATCATGAGCATGTGTTTATGAATAACCCTGAAATAGTGATGATACCAGGTGTTGGCGAAAAGGTGAGCGTATCCTGCTCGACATGTGGCACCCGTCACATGCAAAGGCAAGTCAATTGTTCATCTGAAAAGAAAGTTGTTAGAGGTAAATAACTTTTGGGTTGGAGTCATAAAATCATGACAATTGTTTTTTTAGTCATATTGCAGATTCGCCGTTTTCGTTTAGCTGTAAATGGACTGCGGCTCATTTGGCCAGGGATTATTACTAAAGATGGTATTTGATGTCAGGTCAAGACGAACAAATACAAAATGTACAAAAGGTAATATTTGTTTTGAGAATTTGAAACTTACATGTAAACAAGTCTTCCCAAGTCCCTTCAAATTGTAAGTGAACCCTACAGGGAGAAAGACCTGTTCGGGTGTCTGTTGGACCCGCTACCCAGTAGTTGTAGGCTTGTGAAACACAGACATTGACAAGAGACATCTGTAATTTGCCGTATTATAGATGAAGTCTATTGAGAGTTATCTCCCCTAATTGTCGCGGCCGTTTGTACTATAAACTGTAAAATCCTTTCAATAATCAGAAAGGCCCATTGTACAATTCCAGCGATATAAAAACCTAAATCCCTGATGCAGTATTAGATGCAGTCCATTTACGTAAACATCTAATTTAATGTGCCTTCGAAGGGTGGCGAGTATTAATGTATATCTCAACCTTATACAGTAGACAGTGGAAGATTATTCGGCAACAATGAGCAATGTTATCATTGTGTAGGAAGTTGTAATCAACCAACAATGTCTGATGTGTTTGTAAAGTGGGTTACGTGGATGCTTAAGTGAATTTTATATTCTAAATAACCATATTCTCTTCAATTTTGGAGGAATTACTGGATTTCGTTTTTCTCTAAATACAAACTTGACAGGCAGATGCATCCTCAAATTTCTTTTGACAAAACTCCGATTCTCAATGAATAAATATAATAACATCTCTACTGTCAACTGTCTGTTCAAAGTTTTCAAAAGAAACTTTAAGGAGGACGTTGTTTTGTATTGTCATATGGGCCTCATGCTTGTATTTTTATGTGTTTTTATTTGTAGGTTTGTAACAAAAGTATACACCTAAGGTTGTAGCAAAAAAAAGGATTGGTGATTCGTGATGTATTTAACATGTATTGATGTATTTGAAATATTTTCCTCTGTCTAGCTTATAGCGTTTTTTGGTATATAGGGTTATCATCCCAAACTGGCTCCCACGGGAGATATCGCTTGGGTGAGATCAATCGATATCTACATTGTAGATATCGCTGCAATGCAATTGCATCACAATACTTTGCAGACCAATGTAATGTCATCGGTTACCATGACATCACAATCAAATGACATCACTAATTGCTGTGCTACTGAAGCTGTAAGCTGTACTTTTTTTTACACTTAAGACACTGCTTATTGTTTTCTACAAACTGAACAAGTTGGAAGAATGATGTTGGATGCTAAATAAAATTTCACCCTCGTGTCTTTTGATATGAAATATATCAACACTCGTCGATAAAAGTGAAACACACTGAGTTTTTTCCACTTTTATGAACTCGTATTGATATATTTCATACCAAAAGACACGAGAGTGGGATCCTCTATATATATAACGCAAGAGAGATCTCAATTATATGCTGGAATACATTCCAAAAAATATACAGGTGAAAAATATGTGAATAATAGATCACTGAAAATCAGTGTTGACACCATGTGTTCGTAAAAGGTTTATCACACAATTTGTATAAAAAAGTAAGTTGTTCTGTTCGTTGCTTAATGTAACCGCCTGACAACATTCCTGAGAACCTCCGTGGTCTTGTGGTAGAGCGTCCGCCCGGAGAGCGGAAGGTCCGGGGTTCGATCCCCGACCGCGTCATACCAAAAGACGTTAAAAGATGGTATTTGTTGTTACCCTGTCTGGCGCTCGGCATTAAGGGCCTAAAACAAGGACTGGTCGGCTCGGAGTCAGTGTACTGTGTCTGAGTAGGATATTCATGTTAAACTGCGGCAAGGTATCTCACTATAAATCGGCATCAATCCGGACTAGTACAAGCAGCCACACAAACACACACACGTACATGCACGTACATGCACGTCGCTATAGAGAAAGGGAGAAAGAGAGAGTTCTTTGTATTTACTATGTATAGCGTGGTTTTTATCAGGCACGTATCGTGATATGTGACCTTGAGGACATTTTTCACATTAAGAGTTCATATTAAGTCCATGTAGAATTGGTCCATTGCAGTAATACCGTTCACAGTATGTCTCTGCTATGCTGGACCACAGAGTAATAATTTTAAAAACTACGAATCTACACACCAAGATAGCGACTAAAATATTTCGACCGCGAATCAGGTTTTAGTCATTCCGCTACGAGGAGATAGCACATGTCACGTACCGGGGCCTTCCCATGCTGATAACATGACGTATTTAAATCAAGTAAACTAGTTTCAGCCGGCTTTCTAAGACCAATATATGTCTCGAAAACGTGCATATTCCTCACTAGCAAGCTGATTCAACTGTGGGGTTGTTTCAAGACAAACTGCTACTCATCCGGAAAGGTACATTGTTTTACATTCCAGTATTCTTTTCATTTATTCTTCTTGGATCAATGTTCAAGTCATTGCTTGATGTTGTGTTGTGATGTTGAAGCTTTGACTTGATGTGTGAGTTATAATGGATTCGCATCGGCAATAGCTAAGCCTCTAAGCGATTTCAAATGGTAAGAGTGAGTGAGTGAGTCTGGTTTTGCACCGCTTTTAGCAATATTCCAGCAATATCACGGCGGAGGACACCAGGAATGGGCTTCACACATTGTACCCATGTCGTGAATCGAACCCGGGTCTTCGGTGTGACGAGCGAACGCTTTAACCACTAGGCTACCCGACCGCCCCTCAAATGGTAAGAAATAAGGTCCCGAGGAGAGGAGGGGGGAGGTATAGTCTTCTGTACGGGATGGTCAGGTCACAGTTTTTAGTAAAAAAACCCGGTAATTATAGAAGAACCTACAATGCAAGGCACATGTTAACATTTTTTAGTAAGACGGAAAATCAATTGGTTTGCCCCCTTATAATCATCAGGTTATCCATTTCTGTTAGAAAGAGGGAGTAAGTTACCACATCTTATTGTTTTCTGTATGAATCTTTGACTATTTATGTATTACCCTACGGACGCGTCCTATAATCAGATTGCACACTTCTTTTGTCTCTTCCGTGGGTGAATAAAGGGCCTTATATTTCCTGAGCTCAAATAATACGTTGGACCTTTTCATAAAGTTGAGGATGTCTTTTAAAGGCGGCGTTTACTGTGTCTACGTTATCACTGATGAACCTTAACCACGACTGATTACAGCCGTAGGGACAATATACACCATCCAAACTGATCTCGAGCCATGTTTAAGTTAATGTCTGTAATTGCATGTCACATCCAAAGTTTTAACATGGGGTTAATCCGATGATCGTCCCAAAAACTGTGTTATGACTGAAGTATGTATATCACATTTGGTTTAACATCTGCATATACTGGAGAGTTTCCCATTTACATCATGGTCCGCAAGTTATCGAATCATCTTAACAAATGTTAAAGCACGGTTTCTTACGTGTTATCACGTGTTATAACGTCCCCACTGATCCAGTGACCGGGGAAATAATAACGCTTTGAACATGCCCCTGCGTGGTATGGAAATATGCGCAATATAAAAAATGACCTATTATTAATTTTGAAAATATCTTTGTATTGATCTCTTATAGTATTAATTCAATATTGTATAATTATGAACATTTCTGCTGAATGTCTGCTGAATTGTATCAACGTTTAGTATACAGTAAGAATACATAACAGTTTATTAATTTTATGAATCTGTACGACAAGAAGGTTTTCCACCTTTTATCACATCAAACCGCTCATCGGAATCTGTAATTACATCAATGGCTTGTGAAAACACAAATATGTTACTGTGCCTTGGATGCTATTCGTATTAAGTGCAAAAAATAAGAAATTCATCATTCCTTTGTAACTATCTTTCTATTGTTCTCGTGTATTACTTTAATACTGTATTACTGTGAATATTATTGCTTAACTTCTGAAAACTATTGCACCAAACGCTAGTATACAGCAGCATACAAAATGACCTGTAAACCCAATGAATCTCTTCGGCAAGTGTGTTTCTTTCATTTATATTACATCAAACCGTTCACTGGAAGCGTTTATTCGATTTATGGTTTGTGAAAACATAAATATGTGTCGTGGGTCCTACTTGTATAGAGTGCGAAAAATAAGACATTCATCATTACTTTTGTAGCCATCAGTTAATTGATCTGCTGTATTATTAACTGACTACTGCATTACTGTGAACTTTTTACTGAACTTCTATCCAGAGTTTCTAGGGCTTCGGTGCTGCCCCACACAATAACACATTGGGTGTCCCCTTGGGCGAGGGACTTTGTTTGAAATGGACCTCTGTTCACCCAGCAGTGACTGGTACGCGGTAGGATGAGATGGCAATGTGGTTGTTAATCTTCTAGCGCCTTAACAGGCGAGAGAGTCCTGTGAAGGAGAAATAATTTCCATGTGACAGTAGGACGTTTCCGTAGTTACAAACACTTACAAATATCAAGTGTAATTTCCTGTATTTGTGTGTAAATCCTAGACTATTGTTAATACGGTTTTGTATGTGTGTTTGACTGATTATCATACTTGATTTTCACTTTTGTAATGTTGTTTGAACAAAGATTCACATGTTGCAGAAATCACAAGCATCTAGTTGCCTTCCTTCGATACAGAGCCACCATGGAGGACGATCCGAAGCTACCAATTATAGATCTGAAGAAAGCTCAAGACAAGACACAGAGACTCAATGTAGCTAGAGACCTTGTCAGAGCTCTAGAGACAGTTGGTTTCCTTTACGTGGATAATGCTCCAGGAGTATATATGGATACTCTTCTGAAAAATTCCAAAAGATTCTTTGCTCTTTCATCGGCAGAGAAACACATGATGGCCAAACACAAATGGAATCCAATGAATAAAAACAAATACCGTGGCTACTTCCCTTTACAGCCAGGTGAGACATCGTATAAGGAAGGATTTGAGATAGGAGTTGAGGAGTGTCCATTCAACGATCCTGATATTCATCCTATGTTCACTGAACCCAATCTCTGGCCCCGCTATATGGATGGTTTCGACGTGTTTCTGCGAGATATGAAACAGTACTACAGAGCTATCCTGCACACTGGAACAGAAATACTGCGATTGCTGGCCTTGGGATCAGGTTTAGACGAGTACTGGTTTGAGTCGATGTTTCTCCCTGACACACTGTCAACTCTTCGTCTTCTTCACTACCCACTGAGGTCCTCCAGCCCACCAGACACAGCTAGAGATGGCGACAAGGTGCTCTGCTGTTCTGAACATTCTGATTCCGGCTTTGTGACACTCTTGGCCACCTTCCACTATCGAGGACTTCAGATTCGCAACCAGCATGACAAATGGGTTGACGTGGAACCAAGACCCAACTCTCTTGTCATGAACATAGGGGACATTTTATCAAAGACTAGTAACGGTCGTTTCAAGGCCACCAGACACAGGGTGGTTGAAACAGGTATTGACCGGTACTCTGTGCCTTTCTTCTTTGAGCCAAGGTACAGTGCTGAGATTGGACGTATGATTCCATTTGTACAAAACATGGAGAAGGAACTGTTCGTGAGATCCACTGACTTGTCGACGGTGGAACCAGGGACGAAATATGGACCCTGGCTTATTGGAAAGATGCAGCAGTTTCTAGAGTACAGACACATCCTCACACCGTTCCCTGTCACAACAGCTGCGTGACATGAAACCAGTCCTATGTCATGTGGTACTCATTGCTGTTAAATCGCTGCAGTGCTAAAATGTATTTACATAAATGCATGCCCCAGAGATTATTTGATTGATGATAGTCCTTTTTGTTTAGTTTACGGATTTTGAAAGTGAAGTATTTGGTCGGTAGGTCGAAAAAGATGCTTTGTACAGGATTGTCTTTTATCATCTTAAAGATTTGGGTCGAAAGGTAATACTTAGCTTGGTTTGGTTCCTTGTAAATATTATAAATCTAAAATCTGCCAGCGGCATTTCCTTTTATAGATCGGTTGGTCTGACAGTTGATTAGGGCAATTCGACTTGAAATCCCCTGTATTATTCTTATTGTCAAAACGATCTTAACCGTCGACGCTATAAAAATAACCTTGTCATTCTGATTTAATGGGTTTTTTCTGAATTTTCTATTTTTAAGGTCGGTCGTTCCGTAAACCAAGCTTAATCTGCCATAAAACTTCAATAGTAGATACCGTCTCACATTCATATGAAGGTTTATTCAACGCTTGATTCACAATTGGGTTTGATTACATTTTCTAAATGTGAGATTGTTTTGTTCAGTCTGATGGATACGGCTTTCCCAATTATGCGCAATCTGATAAAGATTCAACGGCTGTGAATAATCATTGTGAGCTATTCACATATGTTATTCTTTATTTTGTCATATATCTCAGTTCTTGATAATAAATACATTTTCACTCGCTTACTCTTGCACCTGTCTTATACACATCTATGAAAACGTAATTGATTATGTAGACTGCGGGATGGCCATGTTTGTAACTTACACAAGGATGTTCACACACACACACACACACACACACACACACACACACACACACACACACACACACACACACACACACACACACACACACACACACACACACACACACACACACACACACATACATATTGTCAATTAACTGGTTTGCCTGGCCAAGTCTCGATTAGAAATAGGCCGCCATGATATTGTTGGAATGTTGCTGCGTTTAACAATATCTAAGATTTATCAGATTTGTTGATGTAAGATCCATTTGTTCCCTGTGTCAGCGTACGGTATACGCGTGTTCTACTGTAATGACACATCTTTCTGTCAGCTTTCTATTTCTATTCACTCGTACATAGGGGCACATGAAAGAGGTATTTCCATTTAAATTCAGCGGGAGAGGCGATAACTTCGATGCCAATGCCATGTTTCTTCTCGCCACATGCAAACCAAAACATCAGTCCGTCCCTGTGAAAGAGTCCTGTATACGACTCGGACAAATCTATAAGTATATGCTGAGGAATCACTATCAATAAGTACTGATACCAGATGCTCGTTAGTTTGATACAAACGTTATCAAGAATGGATACCTCATAATATAAGTTTATTCACTGAAGCAAAATGTATACACGATATTTTTCCATAGACACATGAATCAGTTGCATTCATGTTTTCTAACAAAATGAACGTTCTTGGTCTAAATACATGTAAATACAATTTCATTTAGAATCGCCTGATGTCTGATCTACCGGAAACAATGGCCGGAATCAATCAACCAATCATACCTTTGAGAATCCATGTAGGCACTATCTAAGTTGACGAATCCTGACCTACTGCACTTGTAGTTTTGTATTTTCAGTGATCCATTCATATAATTTTCACAGCTATTTTGCCTTTTACGCCAAATGGAATCTGTTTCGGTGGATAATTGAGACTTGTTATTCTCTTGCGTTGACGTTGTATATTTATGTGGTGAGGTGAGGTGAAATGGGGTTTAACGTCGCGTCCAAGATTATTGCACTTATATAGCGACGTGCATGTACGTGTGTGTGTTTGTGTGGCTGCTTGTACTAGTCCGGACTGATGCCGATTTATAGTGCTAGCTCACTGAGATACCATGCCGCAGTTTAACATGAATATCCCACTCAGACACAGTATACTGACTCCTAGCCGACCAGTCCTTGTTTTATCCCCTTAATGCCGAGCGCAAGACAGGGTAACAACATGTACCATCTTTTAACGTCTTTTGGTATGACGCGGTCGGGGATCGAACCCCGGACCTTCCGCTCTCCGGGCGGACGCTCTACCACTAGACCACGGAGGAGGTGGTATATTTATGTAGATGAAAGGATTATATAAAAATGAAAAGTAACTTTCATAAAATGAAATCTTTTGAGAATCTTGCATATTTGTGAGATTAAGCTTAAGTTAAGATGACAAACCCAATGCTGATGAGACTGGTATACCACCTGTATGAAATCAAGTCAAACAGGTTGGCCACCCAATTCAACATTTGAATCTCACACTTTCAAATGACACGTTGTCACTTGTGCTTGTCGCCGTTGCCTGATCTCATGTAAAGGAATTCGTCATGGGATGAAGACTAAAACCGTCGATAATCATCCAGGACCAGGACTTTCTTTAATTTCTTGTAATACAAGCATATGTGTTAGCTCCTCTTTATGAGATTTCAAACTGGCGTGCTCTATTCCTCAATGATTCACTAGTACGCAGCTTGCCAAGTTGTGTGTTGTCGAGACGGCACATGGAATTATTTCACTGATTTCAACGTAAAAGGTTTTGTCTTATCATTTGAAGATATGTGTAAACATTTCTCTCAGTATATATTCACAACACGGGAATGATAGACGCGTATGTTGTGAAAGGAGTCTGCCATTAAATTTGATTGCTCAAAAAATGATATAATGCAGAGGTCTGTATTTTCAGTTCGCAGGAGTGTTATGTAGTCTGTATTACACACCTCGAACTTTTTGACGAACTTTCACTTCCGCCCAGCCTTTACTATAATGCTGTAGCCATGTTTGAAGCATGGGGAGATTTTCCACCGGTTTGATTTTCCAAGTATTTATATAATGCAGGTAATATAATTCTATGTTAGGCTCGCAGGAGTATTATGTAATTTGTCTCACAGACCCCTAACCTTATTATTTTACCGTCCTCACTTTTAAACTCGTGTAATGGGAAGCTTGTTTAATAACCTATAATTATTGCATACACTCCGCCTACAATGACATCAACAATCGACAGAAAAATCCGTTGAAACGTTGGTAATTATTGCATACACTCCGCCTACAATGACATCAACAATCGCCAGAAAAATCAACTGAAACGTAGGTACAGCTGTTCGAAAAACAGAACCAACAAGGTTTGTGAGCAGCGTTGTCAGTCGTGGAAACTGTCTCCTCCACTGAAGGTAGGCTATTGATGTTTCTAGACAACCGTCATCGAATTGATAATTGTATCACCGCGTATATTTAGCAGTATACCCATAGCTTAAGGAGCTGTGTGTTAGCCATGTCACACTATCATGTAAGTTATGTGAGACTTGATCGAAGGCGCTGACTATCACGCTCTGTCACATACATGTGTGTACACACATAAATGAACAAGGAATTTAATGTATGTAGAAATATATCATTTAGTGATGTCACCTATGAACACACATACACGAACAAGGAATTACATGTATGTAGAAATATATCATTTAGTGATGAACACACATTTATGAACAAGGAATTAAATGTATGTAGAAATATAACATTTAGTGATGTCACATATGAACACACATTTATGAACAAGGAATGACATGTATGTAGAAATATATCATTTAGTGATGTCACATATGAAAACACATTTATGAACAAGGAATTAAATGTATGTAGAAATATATCATTTAGTGATGTCACATATGAACACACATACACGAACAAGGAATTACATGTATGAAGAAATATATCATTTAATGACGAACACACATTTATATGAATAGGAATGACATGTATGTAGAAATATATCATTTAGTGATGAACACACATATATGAAAAAAGAATTACATATATTTAGGAAAATATCATTTAGTGATGTCCCATACAAACACACATATATGAAAAGGAATGACATGTATGTAGAAATATATCATTTAGTGATGTCACATATGAACACACATGTATGAACAAGGATTTACATATATGTAGAAATATATATCATTTAGTGATGTCACATATAAACACACATATATAAACAAGGAATTAAATGTATGTAGAAATATATCATATAGTGATGTCACATATGAACAAGGAACTACATGTATGTAGAAATATACCATTTAGTGATATCACATATGGACACACATACACGAACAAGGAATTACATGTATGTAGAAATATATCATTTAGTGATGTCACATATGTACACACATATATGAACAAGGGATTACATGAATGTAGAAATATATAATTTAGTGATGTCACATATGAACACACATTTATGAACAAGGAATTACATATATGTAAAAATATATATCATTTAGTGATGTCACATATGAAAACACATTTATGAACAAGGAATTAAATGTATGTAGAAATATATCATTTAGAGATATCACATATGAACACAATACACGAACAAGGAATTACATGTATGTAGAAATATATCATTTAGTGATGACACATATGAACACACATACACGAACAAGGAATTACATATATGTAGAAATATATCATTAAGTGATGTGACATATGTTCACACACACATACACAAAAAGGAATTACATGTATGTAGAAATGTATCATCTAGTGATGTCACATATGAACACACATATATGAACAAGGAATGACATGTATGTAGAAATATATCATTAAGTGATGTGACATATGTGCACACACACATACACGAACAAGGAATTACATGTATGTAGAAATGTATCATCAAGTGATGTCACATATGAACACACATATATGAACAAGGAATGACATGTATGTAGAAATATATCATTAAGTGATGTGACATATGTGCACACACACATTTATGAACAAGGAATTACATATATGTAGAAATATATCATTTAGTGATATCACATTTGAACACACATTTATGAACAAGGAATTACATGTATGTAGAAATATATCATTTAGTGATGTCACATACACGAACAAGGAATTACATGTATGTAGAAATATATCATTTAGTGATGTCACATATGAACACACATATATGAACAAGGAATTACATGTATATAGAAACATATCATTAAGTTATGTCACATATGAACACACATATATGAACAAGGAATGACATGTATGTAGAAATATATCATTTAGTGATGTCACATATGAACACACATTTATGAACAAGGAATTACATATATGTAGAAATATATCATTTAGTGATGTCACATACACGAACAAGGAATTACATGTATGTAGAAATATATCATTTAGTGATGTCACATATGAACACACATATATGAACAAGGAATGACATGTATGGAGAAATATATCATTAAGTAATGTCACATATGAACACACATATATGAACAAGGAATGACATGTATGTAGAAATATATCATTTAGTGATGTCACATATGAACACACATTTATGAACAAAGAACGACATGTATGTAGAAATATATCATTCAGTGATGTCACATATGAACACACATATATGAACAAGGAATGACATGGATGTAGAAATATACTCAACAACAAAAGATCCTGTGACACCAATATTTTAGTGTATTTTTCAAACAAGTAAAGTTTGTTTTTTTAATATTGTAGTACATGTATGGAATCAAGTCACAAAAACGCAACTGCTACAGAAAAGCATGCATTCCATTCAAAAGTTGACTTTTATGCAAGCCCCATGCATTTCACTACCCAAGAATGGGTATAAAAACATGTGCGTTAACGGGATTCC